ACAGGGACTGCAAGTCTTACTTTACCTGATGTTTTTTCTTGTGTTTATTTTTATAATTAATAAATAGGATTATAAATCTGTTATAGTATAGTATAACAGTTATACTTCTTGGTTTTTTATGGCACTCTTTGTGGAACCAAAGAACAACTACGTGTACATAACCCTTAAATATAATTTTATATAGAAATATCAATCTAGGAATATTATCAATAAATACAGGAATCTAAGCCTAGCTTTTGTCCAGGACCGATAGAACCACAGATTATAACGGTTAGAACTCTCATAGATGAACTCTCATAAAGCTTAAACGTTGTGTAGAATAAAACTGTCATCTGCCATCCGAGTTTTGTAATGGACGAGTGCGACAAAAGGTCTTATGAGATGAGTTCTTTATGCTATTTTATGTATTTTTCAAAAATTCTATAAAAAAAAATTAATTTTATACCTTAAATTTAATTTGGTCGAATTTTACATTGGTTTAGTTGGACAGTTAATGTCAAAATCGATTCGCCATGCCGTCCTTAATTTACTTATTTATAATAAGCGGCTGTTAATGTTAAAGAAGAAAAAAAGGATTTTCTTTGGTGTTAAACAAAATTTATTGCCAGAAAAGTCTCGTAAGTACTAGAAAAATCATAAAAATATTATAACCAATATGCAAAATATTATGCTTTTTAAAGTATAGCCAACCTATGAAATCAAAATTTTGGGTGGGATAAAGTATCTCATTACAGCACCGAAAGCGGTGTTATAATGAAGTCATTATGAACGCAAAATAGATAAAAATATAACAAATTCTACTTTAGAATAAGTTTGATCAGCTGATTAATTTTATCGTGTAAATATGAAAAAATCGCTGCAGCCTGTTTGGAGAAGTTGCACCGTCAGACTAAGGCTTAAGTGATTTGGCAAGAGCAGTACATAGATATTTCCTGGTTGCCAATTACCAACCGGCAACACTCCAAACATTTTTCATTGACAGAGTGCGATTAGAAAACAAAAAATATGTTAGTCTATTATTATAATAAATAATAAATATACCAAGTATTGTGACGTCTTTATTTTATGAGGTCATAACGTTTTTTCCAGTCCAAAATTTATTTTTAATTTTATAAACATCCACGAAACTATTATTAAATCGTATGTAAGTACGATATTATTCTACAAAATTATTGGTTTACATTTGTAAGGAGTCATTTAAATAATAGACGATAAATTTTTAATAGAAAAATTCTCACATTTCATTTGAATGTTGGTTTTAAAGTGCTAATTTTTGGATTAAAAATTTATTGACTATCATTTAAATGACTCTTTAAAAATTTAAACCAATAACCTTTATTTGTAACAAATTTAAATTGATACATTTTTAACACAAACATATTCACATTACATTTAAATGTAAGCAGAGCTGGGAGTATCTTAAATAGATAGATACTACTTTATCTTAGTAACTTAGTTACTTTGCAAAAGTATCTTGTAACTTGTACTCGGTAAAGTAACTTAGATACTTTAAAGTAACTAAGATACTTTGTAAAGTCACTTAAATACTTTTTAGTGTAACTTAGTTACTCAAAAGTATCTTAGTTACTCAAAAGTATTTTACATACTTTCATATAATATCTTAGATACTTTAGGATAGTATCTTGTAACTAAAGATACTTTTAACACAAAGTATCTAGTTACCAGAGGTAACTAAGTTATTTTGTTTAAACTATCTTAGAAAAGTAACTAGATACTTTTCAGAAGTAACTTTTCCAGCTCTGAATGTAAGTCTATAATTTTTAATTCACAAAGTGTAAACGCTGCTTTAGCTGACTGCTTTTGCGCTTTGTAACTTTTACCGGCTATGCTTAAAATAGACAACTCTAGAAAGAGACAGTCTTCTAAAGCTACGTTTACACTTTGTAAATTAAAAATTAAATGTAAAGTTATAAATTTTGTGTTAAAAATGTATCATTTTAAAATTGTTAAAAATAAAAAGTTTTGATTTAAATTTAAATAAAATTAAATTTTAAATAAAAGTTATTGGTTTAAATAAACAGTCATTTAAATGATAGTCCATAAATTTTTAATCAAAAAATTACCACTTACATTTAAATGAAATGTTACAATTTTTGTATTAAAAATTTATAGGTAATTAATCATTTAAATGACTCTTTACAAATTTAAACCGATAATCATATTTTCGTTGCTAAGATTCCAATTCGAAAAATTTGAAATCCGTTTGCAGGTAAGACACAATACTTCATTATTTACAAGTAAAAACGAAAAAAAATATATTTTTTTACAAACTGGGCTTGGATGAAGTTATTGAAATTTTTCACCGTTTAACATATCACCCTGTAGGAAATTTACTTGAAGAACCGTGAGCTTCATATCTATAGCATAAACTGCCAGAGGATGAGGCTAGCAGACATCACAGACCAAAATAAAATTTAGAACGATTATACGATTTTATAAAATATTATTACAATGAAAAATTTCAGCTGTAGCTAATGACGTAGAAATTCTTTTAACAATTATTTTTACGAAAAAATCAAATTTGTAGTTACGCATGCGCACTAAAGTATGGTTTAGTACTTTGACCACAGATTTCGCGTCGCAAAGTTGGTTTGAAGTAGGTGAATCACCCATTGTCGGTGGCATCTTTTATATAATAGTATAGGTATTATGTATCAAGTTTTATAAACGCCATTTTAGTTACGAGTTTTATTAGGCACGAGCGAAGCTTATTAAAAACGAGTGTCTAGATAAGTTTATAAAGCGAGTTGCATACTAAGTATACTTTATCTACGACGAACACAAAGAAGAATTTAAAGCCAATAATATTTGTTAAACATTTGACATCTGTCAAATGTCAACGGAATTAACCTCATTTTTCTCTAATATATAATAAAGCTAATTTCAGCCCGTGACTAAAACGCCCAAAAGCCACTTATTGCCAACTTCAGCCCGTGACTAAAGCGCCATAAAGTCACAGCTCGTCAATGTAGAAGTAGATAAAAACATGAAATACTAACATTAAATTTTAACTTAGGTATTTGAAAAGGATAATTTGTGTATCTTATACTCAAGACAACGTATGCGTAACTACGAATTTTATTTTGTCGTAAAAATAATTGTTAAAAGAATTTCTACATCATTAGCTGTACTGAAGGAAAACTTTTTATTGTATATTTTATAAAATCGTATAAAATTTTGTAGAATTTCACAGAAATAAAAAGATTATGTAAAAAGTAATCGTACTAAAATTGTGTAAAACTAGTACCATATTCGTTTAATGCAATAAAAAAAATTGAATTTAACGGAATCTCTTGTCAATAATTTTCACTTATCTCTTTTTAATAATTTTTATTTTTTTAATAATACAATAAAATCACACACTTTCAAATATAAACAATTCATGTTCATAAAAATAATTATAATTTTGCAAAGTAAAAAAATCGAAAAAATTACTATAAGTTTAACTTTAACCTTAAATAACTTTATCTACTCCTTCATTGACGAGCTGCGACTTTATGGCGTTTTGGTCACGGGCTGAAGTTATCAACAGTGGCTTTTGGGCATTTTAGTCACGGGCTGAAGTTAGCTTTATTATAAATTAGGGAAACGTGAGGTTAAATCCGTTACAAGTTGAAAGATGTCAAAAGGTTAACAAATAAAATTGGCTTTAAATTCTTCTTCGTGTGCGTCGTAGATAAAGTATAGTATGCAACTCGTTTTATAAACTTCTCTAGACACTCGTTTTTATTAAACACTCGCTTGCAAGATTCGCTCGTGCCTAATAAAACTCGTAACTAAAATGGCATTTATAAAACTTGATACATAATATACTATTAAATTCAGTGAATTTATTAAAAAATCATAGGAAAGCTTTTTTGTACAGCGTTCAATTTCCTATAAAAATGTGTCTCTTATTGCTGTATATTAACTTGCTCGGGAGAAAAAATAAATAAATGTAAAACTTGCCGAAACCCCATGTTATTTAAATGGAAAATGTATCGTCTTTGTGGCACGGTTTAATATGATTATTTCCCTCATTATAATATGAACCAATCAAAAGCCTTGAATTTTCGAATAAATTTCGTTTAAATAAGCGATTAAATCACTAGAACTATTTAACAGCGATTAAATTTTAGCCTCCATATTGGATTTTTGTTTACGATTTTATGGTGTTATTTACAAGTTTTAACAAACATTTTTTAAAAAACAATAACAAATAAGTTATCTAGTTTACGAAATATCAATTATTACTTATTACATACCTTAAATTAATGAAATTTTCTTTTAAAAAATATTTCGCCACCTGAGAATTAGATTGTTCTATCTCCCAAAATTCAAAGAGGAACAAATAGCAGTTTAAAGTTTAATTTATATACAAATGAAATTTTAAAAAGCTGTTTTCCGTGTTTAGGTTTTGGAAGATTCTATATTTTAAACTGCTATTTGTTCCTCTTTAAATTTTGGGAGATAGAACAATCTAATTCTCAGGTGGCGATTTATAAATTTTGACACATACGTCAGATTTTATGAATTGTCAAATAGTTTCCTTTAATTCGAGAAATAATCTAGACGTATATCACTCAACCTATAAATTTAATCTGTCAAACTATGCTCAGTAAGTTTTTTTATTTGATTTGTCTTTTTGGAAAATAGTTTCATGCAAAATAATTAAAAATAAAACCCCTCGACCGCTACGCGGTCTCGTGATTTTATTAAATTATTTTGCATTCAACATTTTCCAAAAAAAAAACTAATGAGCCTAGTTTAAACGATTAAATTCATAGTTCTCGTGATATAATATTTGAACATTTTTTTATAATTTTTTTAATAATTATTTTTAGATCATAAACTAAAAATTTAGTGGCGCTGCAAACAAATAAAACAAGTTGGTAAATAACGGACACAATAATGTACAGGTTCGAAAAACGATTCAATATAAAATTAGATTTTTTATTCCAATAAGGAACAATTATTATAACATCTATGTATCTGATTAATCACTGGTGCGGTAAGTTGCACTCCTTTATGAATTTAATCGACTGATGTACGACCGGTTCCGTTTTTCTTGATTGAGTTATTTCCTCGCCTGCTAAGTGACGCTGGATTTCTTGCAAAGTTTTCCCTTTTGTTTCGGGAATAACCGTATAAATAAAACACAAACCCGCCACGCAAAAAAATGAGAACGTATAAAAGGCAACATGCATTCCGACGTATTCCAAGGTAAAATAGAAAAACTTCGTTATCGCTATCGATAGTAAATTGAAATAAATGGCCGTAAAACTGACGGCCGCTGATTTTACGTTGAAAGAAAATATTTCACCCAGCATTACCAGCGGTATTGTTCGCAGGCCTATGTTGAAAAACACTACGTATAAAAACATAGACACAATAGGTATAAAGCCGATGTGATCGGTGTTGTAAAATGATTGATGTTTGAGGTGTAAATAAAACCCGGTTGTTAATAAGGTGATAGCTGTGCCGGACACCGATATCATCAGAAGTGTTCTTCTGCCAGTCCTGTCAACAATTAAGGATGATATGATGGCCACTTTTAATTGCAGCAGGAAATATAGTATTGTGGAGATGCTGGGTGATAAATAGTCGCGAGATTCTTCGAAAATTGTTTTGCAGTAAAAGGTTATCACCGTTGTCCCGCATAGTTGCTGCACTGTTCTCAATCCCACTGCTATTATTAGGGCTTTTCTGTTGGCTTTATCCCTAAACAAACTAGTAAAATTCCGTTTTTTTTCTTCCTCGTTGTATTTTTTAATTTCCCCCTGCAGTCTTTGAAACTCCCTAAGTGCCTCGTCAGCACCGACCAGCATCACCAAGCTCTCCTTGGCTTCTTCGCTTTTTCCCTTGAGCAAAAGAAAGGTGGGACTTTCGGGCATCCAAGCGAAGGTCGAAAGCAGCGCCAAGGGAAAACACGTGGCCACCAAGGCTGCTTGATTGATCGGCAAAAAGCTTCCCAGTATGTTGATGAGGAGCAGCCCTGCGACTATGAACACCGGGCAAAGGGACGCGATGGTTCCTCTTTGACCGGTCTCCGATATCTCCCCCAAATACATGGGCACCACCGACAACGACATTCCAACTGCCAGGCCGGCCACCACTCGAGCTGCGTACAGATATTCGACGGTGTTCCCGAAGGCTATCAGCAACCAGGCTGCGGTCAAAGGAAGTGCGGACCACATGATTAGTGTTTTGCGACCGATGAAGTTGGCGATCTGTCCCGTCGCTATGGCTCCCGCTATTGTGCCAAGCAGAAGAGCTATCACCAACCAGGAGCCTTCTTCTGCGCTCATGCTGATGATATATTCGCCCTTGGTGAGGATTGGCAGTGAGGGTGAGGTCCAACCGTAATGCATCTCGCATGAAACTACACCCAGTGTTCCTAAAATTACAATAATTATTACACTATAGCCCTGATAGCACACTTTATTCTAAGAATGTTTTTTAAACCTTCCAGTGAGAATATTCTTAGGATCATGCTATATTTCTTCTAAAGAACATGCTTAAAAGATATACAGCATGATCCTAAGAATATTCTTACTGGCCTATAGGCAGGTTCTTAGAAGGTGCAAAGTTTTAGTGGTAAAAATTGGTCTACTCTAAACATGCTTAGAATGTTAAGAAAGTAATTGCTATATAAAGTTTATTTAGGAATATTCCTGTTAAGCATATTTAGTTCATTTACCTAGATAATAGTAAAATATTCCAAAAACTACGTATAAAGGTATAAACCTATACTTAAGTACCTAATTAGTAATTAGTATTACCTAAATACTAAGTAAAAAACACAATCCAAAATATTTTTTTTATCGTTATTTGTCAAATTAAAACAATATTCGATAACAAAAATACTTTTACTTTATTTGATGTTAAAAATAAATATGTATTTTTTTATTTCTGAATTAACACTTTTATGTATATACCGGGTGTATCTGAGAATGGGCGCACCCCTCTAACTTTTTTATTTATAAAGATAGACACCTGAAATTTAGCATGGTTAATTAAGATATAAAATGCCATTTATAAGAGTATAAATTTTTTTTAAATCCGGTTTTGCCGGAAATGATACCAACTTTCGATTTTTAAATGGAATGCCCTATATATTTTTACATATTTGGAATCCTAAGGAAATTCTGAATCAGACAGCATCCTCAAATTGACCTTTTGACGTTTCGTCATCAGAAAATGCATCATCATAAAGAGTGTTTTGAACTGAACTGCGCATCACTCAATGTGTCGCGACCAAAAAGTTCGTTCTTTTTCAAAAAGACATAACTTTTTTGTTTCTTGAACGATTTTATTTTGCTAGCCTCATCCTCTGGCAATTTATGCTATAGATATGAAGCTCACGGTTGGTCAAGTAAATTTCCTACAGGGTGATATGTTAAACGATGAAAAATTTCAATAACTTTATCCAAGCCCCGTTTGTAAATAAATAATTTTTTTTTCGTTTTTACTTTGAAATAATGAAGTATTATGTGTTACCCTGAAACATTTTTCAAATTTTTCGAATTGGAATCTTAGCAACGAAAATATATTTTTTTCCAAAAGAGTACATTTAAGGCTTTTTTTAGGCAATACACTCAGTTTTTTTAGGAACAAGAAGATAAGATGGTGAAAGATTGTTCCTTAAATAATTCTGAACAAGTGGCAAGCAACAAACTTCCATTATTTTCAGAGGGCCTAAGCTAAGACCACTTTTTGAAAATGACATTTTTGTGAAAGTTTGCAAAAGCTAAACCTAAACCGATATTTACTTTCGTAATATGTTTTCTTCATAATTTTGACCTCCTTATTGTGATTCAGTTGTCAAATTTAAGTTTCAGATAAAACCAAAAGCACTAAGAATCCAGATTTGAAAACAATTCCCGGCTGTTAAATGTATCAATAAAATCCGATTGCTGGTTTTTATTGAGAAAATGAATTGGCCACCTTCGTCTCCGGATATGAATCCTATTGAGCATGTGTGGAGCAGGATAAAATTGAAGATGAAAGAGAGGGAAGGAAGCATGGAAAATTTGGATGAACTGGTAAATGCTATTCAGCAAGAATGGGGTACCCCAGAAATTTCTAAGGAACTTGGTCGAGGGAATGCCCAGGAGGGTTAACGATCGTTAACCCTCCTGGGCATAATAATTCGGGCATAATAATTCGAATTATTACGGCTTAGGGGAGGGCCAACGAAATATTGAAAGGTATTATTGTTATTGTTTGTTAGATTTTTCTGTTCAATGTTGAAGTTTTGATTATGATTATATCTACTCATACAATTTTCAAAAATGAACAAAAATATTTTTATTTAACTTTATTATCAATTAGGTAGGTACTTATCAATGATGTTATCACTACTGCGCAATGTAAATGTAGTTATGTAACATTATCCTACCCACTCAAACAAATTGCAGTAATTTCGCCCAAAAAATGAATCCCCAAATGGCATTTTCATCATAAATATAAAGACATTTAACAACAGGGAATTGTTTTCGAATTTTGATTCTTGATGATTTTGGTTTTATCTGAAACTTAAATTTGACAACTGAATCACAATCAGGAGGTGAAAATTATAAAGAAAACATGTCACAAACGTAAATATCAGTTCAGGTTTAGTTTTCGCAAATTTTCACCAAAATGTCATTTTGAAAAATTGGTCTTTGCTTAGGCCCCTCTGAAAATAATGGAAGCTTGTTGCTTGTCGCTTGTTCAGAATTATTCAAGGAACAATCTTTTACCATCTTATTTTCTTGTTCTTAACCCTAGATCACTCGCGCACCTAAGCCAACGTTATCACTCGCGCCCCGGTCTTTTCGACCGATTCACGATTTTTGCAGTTTAAAAAAATATAAAGAGTTATGATATTTTTTTATTGTTTATTATAATAATATAATAACAATATAAAACTTTTAAAGCGTGAAAAAATATTATTTTTTAATAAAACAAAAAGAAAAAGAAAAAAGTTTATTATTTAAAATTAAAATATTCTTTAAAACTTTGAAACAGGGTGCGACGTATTGAAGGTTTTTAGGAATTGTCACGGAGCCATAAAATCCAGACATGCGCGTTTCGAATACTATGTAGAAAAATCCAAGAGGTCGGTCAAAAAGACCACGACGCGAGTGATCTAGGGTTAAAAAGACTGAGTATATTGCCTACCAAAAATCCTTAAATGTACTCTTTTGGAAAAAAAACGAAAAAAAAGTTATTGAAATTTTTCACCGTTTTACATATCACCTTGTAGGAAATTTACTTGAAGAACCGTATGCTTAATATCTATAGCATGAATTGCCAGAGGATGGGGTTAGCAGACATCACAGACCAAAATAAAATCGTTCTAAAAACAAAAAAGTTATGTCGTTTTGAAAAAGGACGAACTTTTTGGTCGCGACACATTGAGTGGTGCGCAGTTTATTTGAGAAAAACGAATTTTGACAAGTTTAGACTGCTGGGAATAGCTGAATAACAACTTTCTAAGAAAAGTTCCATTTTTCAGGCAATGTGTGAATCCATTAGAAGAAAATAAGATAGTTCAAAGCACTCTAGATTGAACTTTATGATGATACATTTTCTGATGACGAAACGTCAAAAGGTCAATTTGAGGATGCTGTCTGATTCAGAATTTCCTCAAAATTCCAAGTATGTAAAAATATATAGGGCATTCTATTTAAAAATCGAAAGTTGGTATCATTTCCGGCGAAACCGGAAGTTCAAAAAATTCATTTTGTACTCTTATAAGTGGCATTTTATATCCTAATTAACCATGCTAAATTTCATTATTTATAAATAAAAAAGTTACAGGGGTGCGCCTATTCTCAGATACACCCGGTATATCTTCTACTTATCCCACAAAATTTTTCAATTTTACCTTTTTATGAAATAATGTCATGCAACTTACTGTTTAGAGGTCAAATTGTTTATTTAATATTTTTAAATTAATATATTAATTTAAAAATATTAAATAAACAATTTATATATACAGTGTGTCGCATTTAAGATGAAGACACCCCCATATTTTCGCTATTTCAAGGAATAGAGATTTGAATTTTTTCACATTCATACATGTTGGTGGGTCACATTTTTTAAGATACTCAACTAAAATCTGAACTTTAAACTTGGCCTACTAGTAGCTACGAATTCACATACGGGGCCAGTTGTCGATATTTTGCTTCGCGTTAGAAATATCGAAAAAAATTATTAGAAAAAGTTGTTCAGAATATTATTCTAACCTCGTATACCGATTTTCAAAGCAAAATTCGCATTTATAATTTATTTATTTTTATTAGTTTTATTATTGTTTTATACCATTTCCTTAATTTAATAAATTATAATTGATTTGTAATTTCCAAAAATTGTTTTAATTATTTATTTAACGGTCATAAACACTAGTTAGTATCAAATTATTACTTTCCATGGCTCCCTTATTATCAAACTAAAAATGAACTTGTAATAATTTTGTGTGGACCAAAATAAAAAAAAATTAAAAATGCGAATTTTGTTATAAAAATTGGTATATGGGGTTAGAATAATATTCTGAACAACTTTTTCCAATAACTTTTTTCGACATCTCTAACGCGAAGCAAAATATCGAGAACTGGCCATGTTTGTGAATTAGTAGTAGGCCAAGTTTAAAGTTCGGATTTCAGTTGAGTACACTGAAAAAAATTTACGAAATTTTACACATCCAAACACACATTTATTTCTGTTTTTTTACTTAAGAAATGTGTTGTTCCATATAAAACATGTACACACATACTTACATAAGTAAAATAGCATCAATTTATGTATTTTTTTAAATTAATATGTAGTTTTTCATATTATTATGTAATAAATCCTTATTTTATGTGCTTTTACAATTTTTAATGTACTTGTACTATTATTTTTCTAAATTTTAGATTTACATGACCTTTGCATTTTTACACATTATATGTAGTTTTACAGTATGTTTGTACCCAAGCAGCATTTTTGGTTCCAAAAACCATTGCCAAAGTGGTGATAACTTTAAATTAGTTAAGTATACTAAACAGCTACTTTAATTTTTACTTAAAAGTAATTCTAACTTTTAAATAGCAATATTTTGTAACAGAAACTTAATTTTTCCTTAAATTGTTACTATAATTATAGTAATAATTAATTAATTAAAGTAATAAACATTTAAGTAAAACTTGGTTGCCCCCAAGAAGACTTTGCAACTTTAAAAAAGATGTTATAAGTAAAAAAAACTTTCAAGTAAATTTAATTTGTAGCAGTTACTTTCGGTTGCTACCTACAGATTACATTATAATTATTTTTACTTTGTAGTCCCTTTGCAAGTTAAAATCTCGAAACTGGAACATGAGTTAAAAACTACAAAGTTAATAACTTAAAAGTTATTATTTTAGTATTTGGAACGTTTATGGTACTAACCAAAACAACCGTAAAGTGGAAAAAAACTTTAAAGTAGCGAAAACTACTTCAAAGGAAAATGCTTCTTATCGGCCATTTTTTACTGTACAGTACCACGTGGTAATGTAAATAATAAATTATTTTAATTGTTTGTAAATGGTTGTTTACTTTTTAATAAATAGAAATATTGTTGGTAATAGACGGTATTAATAATTAAATAAAAAAAATAATAATAAATATTAAGATTTTTTTATTTATAAACATTACTAAATAAATAATTTGTTTATACTTAAATATTGATGAAGCGCATTTATTTTACAAAAACTAAATTCATAAGTTCAACAGTAAAATTTAAAGGGTTTATAAATCTACCTGTCTAATTAAACATTATATTGTTATTCTGGAAGTTATAAACTACCAGTACATATTTAATAAACGACGACATTGAAAAGCCAAGTCCGTAGTGGTTCCATTTAAAAAAGGAGGGATAGTATAATCTAATATAAGTTTGACAAAGACAGTTAATATAGAAGTAAAAACAAATAATAAAAGTAATTATAACGCTCTAGCAACGATATTGGAACGTTCTAGTAACGTAGCAGCTACGTCCCAAATAGTAGCAGGGTTGGTAGCTAGTGACATATTTGCTACCTTTTTGGAACTCAATAATTGTTCCCCACTTTAGTCGTAACGTAGTAATGAAAGAGTAATATAAAGAGACCGGCGACTGTCGCAAAACACTTTGAAGTTTCTTCAATAGTCCCATATACGTAACAAATACTTAAATTGTTGCTTGGGTACATATACATTTAAATACGTGGCATCAAAATAACCAACGATCAGATGTGTAAATTTACTAAATATTTTTTTGAGTGTAGCTTAAAAAATTTGACCCATCAACATGTATAAATGTGAAAAAATTCAAACCTTTATTCCTTCAAATAGCGAAAATATGGGGGTGTCTTCATCTTAAGTGCGACACACTGTATAGTACCTATATTAATATGTCGCAAAACTTATTAAGGGGACGATAAATACATTTCACTATCATATTATGACAGTGAGGCGTATTTGTCGTCTCCTGAAGAATTTTACGAATGTAGAATACAACATATTAGAACGTGGGTATCTGACATATTTGGAAATATTCTCAAAAGCTTCCTAGAAGCTCCATAAGAAACCATCTAAGAACATTCCAAAAACGTATTCTTAAAATGTTCTTATGATGCTTTTTAGGAAGGTTTTAAGAAGCTTTTAAGAATCTAATTGCATCATTAAAAGGGTATCTATTGAATGTTTTAAAAGTCCCTAAGAACATTCCTAGCAATAAGGGGAGGTTCTAAGAATATTCCATTATTCTGGGTCATATCTTCTTAGAAGATTCTTAAAATCAAATTTTGCTATCAGGGAGCATTCCAACACCAAAACAAAACACAAAGTGCATCTTCAGAAGCGAAGTGTAACTAAATCCAAATGCTAAATCATTTAGCCTAAATGTATCATATTTATACTAATTATAGGCTAAGGTTGACTTAATTACATTTCGCTTCTGAAGATGCCAACATCGTTGGCGAAAAGTACATTAAGCACTATGTGTTTTGTTTTGGTGTTGGAGAGTATTTCTACTATTTGTTTATAACATATACGCATAGAAAAAGTGGCAAAAAGTCTCTGACGGAACTCCAAAAGTTTTTTTATGCAACAAACCATATTGGTCACTTTATTCATCCATTTGTTTTGTTTAATGTTTTACCTGTAAAAGCCGCCACATATTGATACACTTTATATCCACAAATTGTTTGCAAATATGGCTTCATTTTTATTACATATACACTTATGCAAGTGCTGAACACATAACATTAGAATAATATTGATACAAGTAAGTAAATTAATGTATATACGATTAAATAGTTTTACTATGAATAGGTTTGTACAATCATAACATTCGGTTTTCTTTAAAACTTGATTGTGGTTTCAGTAAAAAAAGTCATCCAGGCTAGCCAACATGTTTCATTTTTGACGCTGATTTTTTCAAATTTCTAACCGTTTAGGAGTATTTTTTAGTGATGTTATCCATTAGTTGCAGAAATGGAGTCCTTGGTCCCTTCTACTACCTTGATTTAGTTTAGATTGGGTTGCATTTTTAGGCGTTTCAGAACATTTCCTGAAGGAGTCAGGGTTGCAATTTTTTTGTTTCAGTCTTTTTCGTTTTTTCAGTAATACCCCCTTTTTATTGGCTCATCGGATAGTACTCTTGACGAGAAACAAAAAGTTTCAAATGGACCTACACCCTAACGTTTGAAAAATCACTTTGAAATCTGTTTTGCATTTTTGGGCGTTTCAGGACATTTCCTGAGGGGGTCAGGTTGGGTGGGAATTTTTTTGCATTTTTGGGCGTTTCAGAACATTTCCTGAGGGGTCCGGTTGCAACCTTAAGGAAATGTCAAATATGGTAATTATTGTTTCTTTGCTATTTACAGAATCACAAAAGAAAAACCCAAGATACATACACCAAAAACGAAAAACAGAAAAACCAAATTACACTGTACCTATAATATTTATTATTTGTAAATTAATTTTTCTTTTGTTCAAAAACGACAAAAAAAGCAAAAGCAAATGTTTTTTGTTGTTTTAGGTTTCGATTTTATTAGGTACTTGGGTACATTTTTATAAAAAAAAATCTTTAAGGATTATTTACCTATTAGGTAGGTATAGAAATACCTATATTATTAAATAAAACATATTAAAAACTTAATCAATTTTATTGATTTTTGGTTTACCAATTCAAAATTGTTTCCGTAACCCTCGTATCCCTAATCTATAGATACATATCTATAGTATAAATCAAAAAAAGTTAATATTATTAATAAAAGAATTACCCGTAAATGGGACCAAACAAGAATACAATGTAGAATACATTTTTTTAATTGAATATATGCAACCAACAAAATACTACACTCTAGCATAGTTGCGCCATCTGCATTTTGTAGATAAAACCAAATTTATCTCTGTATAGAAACATGTAATCCTAAATCCTAAACTTACAACTTCTCCAGCAGATGGCGAAACTCATTCGAAAATTAACTTTACCGACAACCCGGCAACTGTCAAAAATCAAATTCGCCTTGTCACACAGCATTACGGGTTGTTTTTAGCCGGCGACTCGAAAACTAGTGTTAAAAGTGCTTTGAAATGTTCAGAAACCAATACGACAGCGATGTCACGGTGTGGAGCCCCCAGGGCCGCCTTCACCAAGTCGAATACGCCATGGAGGCCGTAAATCTGGGCTCTGCAACAGTTGGCCTTAAAAGCAAAACTCACGCTGTCCTGATAGCCCTCAAAAGGGCCTCCTCCGAATTGTCGGCGTACCAGAAAAAGGTGATCAACATCGATGAACATATTGGAATCACCATTTCCGGTTTAACAGCAGATGCAAGGATTTTGAGCAGATACATGAGGACTGAGTGTTTGAATTACAAGTATTCTCATGATACTGTGTTGCCATTAAATAGGCTTATTTCCACTTTGGGGAATAAGATGCAGGTTTGCACGCAGAGATATGATAGAAGGCCCTATGGGGTTGGGTTGTTGGTTGCTGGTTTTGACGATAAAGGTATAATTATTTGTTTTTTTTTTCATAAGTTTAAGAGTGTTACTTTAAATGGTTTTCGCATTATTTAATTACTAATATATCTGTGTATCAATGATAAACTCTGAAGGTTGCAGGTAATATTATGATTTTATTTTGAGCAATATATACAAGGTGTCCCTAAACTTAGTGGCATAAATTTAGGAGCAGATTAAGCAAGTCAAAATAAGACGAAAATCTAAATAAATATTTTTCCTAATTACGTATGTTTAAAAGATACAGGGTGATAAAGTGTTACTTATCATATCAGTTTTTTTAATATAACTTCTAATATGGTAGACTTGGAAATGTGATATTTTGCGAACAGTCACTTACTACCAAAACACATATTCACACATAATTTCAATTGTTTGAGTGAACACAGTGTCGTAGAAACGGGGGTTGCTTTAAGCTTATTGTCCCATACAAACTTTGAGGTTAGGTTTTTATAACATTTGATACAATTTTTCGATTACACAGTTCGTCTACCATTAAAAAGGTGTACCTCTCAAACTTCGATAAAATAAACCGTTTACGAGATATTCGAGATTACAATAATTGTTATATCGCATTATTTAAAAGGATTAAAAGGTATATGATAACAAATTTTATTTTTTAATTGAAAAAACTAAAAAACGGCGTTCCATGAGCCTCAAGACTTTTTGCCCTGACCGTCACATTAAAAAAATTGTAGTTTTTTCAATTAAAAAATTTGTTATAATATACCTTTTAGTCCTTTAATGCGATATAACAATTATTGTAATCTCGAATATCTCGGAAACGGTATATTTTATCGAAGTTTGAGAGGTATACCTTTTTAATAGTAGCCGAACTGAGTAATCGAAAAAATGCATCAAATGGTATAAAAACCTAACCTCAAAGTTTGTATGGGACAATAAGCTTAAGCAACCCCTGTTTCTATGACACTGTGTTCACTCGAACAATTGTAATTATGTGTGAATATGTGTTTTGGTAGTAAGTGACTGTTCGCAAAATATCACCTTTCCAAGTCTACCATAGTGGAAGTTATATTAAAAAAACTGATACGATAAGTAACACTTTATCACCCTGTATCTTTTAAACATACCTAATTAGGAAAAATATTTATTTAGATTTTCGTATTATTTTGACTTGCTTAATCTGTTCCTAAATTTATGCCACTAAGTTTAGGGACACCTTGTATATTAGGGTGATTCATTTCCGCAAAATTTTGTTTTTTTTCGGTGCTCAAGCAAAATATTAATCTGCATATAGAAAAAAAAATTCTCAACAAGTTTGAGCTCTTAATATAAATTTTAAGTATACTTACTATTTAAATTTAAAGTTTTACTGTTTACAATGCATGTAAAAAATATATATTTTTTTTCAAATTTTTAATGCTTACCCACCTTTGACAATATTGCAAATCGGTTTAATACACCTTATGGGGAATTTCACGCTCTTTATAACACGCATTGGTTCACCAGTAGGACAGTTTTTGAAAAAAATCGGTTTTTTTTTAAATTTTTTCTAACAAACCGCAAAAAGTAGGGAGAAAAAAGGGCTGAATCATAAAAAAAAGTTATCCAACCAATATTTAATGAATTTACAGCCATTTTTATAACTGAAAACGTAAGAAATTGATAATTACCAACTAATGTTATTTAGATTGATTTTTTCTATTTATTATCATTATATTTCCCTACACTAAGAAGTTTTTTAAAATTATTGATTTCTCACTTATAATGAATATGAAAACAACAGATAAATTCATAAAAAAACAATAAGAAAATTGTAACGTGGATTTTGCAATTTTTCAACATTTCTGTCATATAGCAAAAAATATAAATGAAGATTATTTAATTTTTTGAAGCAAAATTTGAAATATGTTACATAACCTTCTGTATATTCCGATTAAAGTTTTGTTGTTTTTTTATGAATTTATGTGTTGTTTTCATATTCATTATGAGTGAGAAATCATAATAATTTTAAAAAAGTTCTTAGTGTAGGGAAATATAATGATAATAAATAGAAAAAATCAATCTAAATAACATTATGGGTTGGTATTTATCAATTTCTTACGTTTTCAGTTATAAAAATGGCAGTAAATTCATTAAATATTGGTTGGATAACTTTTTTTTATGAATCAGCCCTTTTTTCTCACTACTTTTGGCGATTTGCTCAAAAAAATAAAAAAAACGATTTTTTTCAAAAACTGTCCTTTGACGACTCCTACTGGTGAACCAATGCGAGTTACAAAAAAAAAACTCAAAAGCAATTTTAAAGAGCGTGAAATTCCCCATAAGGTGTATTAAACCGATTTGCAATATTGTCAAAGGTGGGTAAGCATTAGAAATTTGAAAAAAAATATATATTTTTTACATGCATTTTAAACGGTAAAACTTTAAATTTAAATAGTAAGTGCTTAAAATTAATATTAAGAGCTCAAACTTGGTGAGAATGTTTTTTCCTATATGCAGATATTTATATAATATTTTGCTTGAGGACCGAAAAAAAACAAAAACTTTGCGGAAATGAATCACCCTATTGCAGATAATATTATGATTTTATTTTGAGCAATTATACATGTAATACAATTTTCTTTTTTTAAAGGTGCTCATATCTACCAAACTTGCCCATCTGCAAACTACTACGATTGCAAGGCCATGTCCATTGGAGCTAGATCTCAAAGTGCCAGGACTTACTTGGAGAAAAAAATCGACGAACTCCATAATGCTCCTCTGGAAGATTTGATTAAACATGGTTTAAGGGCGTTGAGAGATACCCTTCCCCCAGAGGTGGATTTGAACACCAAAAATGTTTCTATTGGATTTGTGGGCGACAAACAGCCGTTTAAAATCCTGGACGAGGATGAAACTGCTCCCTTCTTGGCTTTGATTGAGGGAGAAGAGAGACGTGGAGGTGGTGGGGGCCCACCTGATGCAGCTGCAGCTCCTTTGAGGGATGAGGCGGGGGACCAGGATGCCCCGAGGTAAAGTTATCCCGAAATTTAGTTTTAAAAATGTTTATTTGAATTTTTTTAGGGAACCGGTTCCACAAGTGGCCATGGATACAGATTGATTCAGAGAAGTTTTTCTCTAAACAAGTTTTCCTGCAAGAAAACCTGCCCTTTGCCTTTTCTACTTTTCACTGAATTTTTGCCGTGGCTGTTTTTTGTCAAAAAGCAGCCACGGCAGGTATATTTTTATGAATGGTGTTTATGGAAAACAATTTATATTTAATTTTAATAAAACTGCATAATAAATTTACTTTGTGCTTCATTTAATAAATCCAAGAATTTCTTTAAAAAGCTGCTGATTGTTTTTTAAAATTTAAATGATTACTTACCTACCAATAGGGTCATTTTCAAAAAACACCCGCTTTCAGGAAAATGAAGATCAAATTTTTTTTTGCTTAAATTGACTTTTGGTTGGATTTTTATAAATGTTTAGAGTTTTGTTTACTTACATACATTTAAGACAGGCAGTGCACTTTTTATTTTTTTTGTACGTTTTTTTCAGAAAATTGTATTTAGGTAGCTTAATATGTATATCTCAACTGTTTGATTTGAAATCCAAAATTTAATTCAATAAAAAAAAGTTCTTATAAAAGTAATTTGTACTTGGTTCACAAACTGTTGACTCCAATTTTTTATTTTTTAATAAAAATTGTATCCTTTTTTTAAATATTTATGTTTGTTAAGTTACTTTTTTAAAGAAACCATTCCGATTCTTTGTTAAAAAAACAATACCATTAATATTTTCCTTTAGTCACTGTATAAGTGAGTTAAACTCTAATTTATAAACACGTATTACCAAGTGATAGTGTATAAAAATCATTTTAAGTATTTTTTTAACAAAAACTAAAAAAAGTAACAAAATAGACATTGGTATCACAACGGACTGGGGTACACAAAGGACTTAATCAGATAACGTAAAAGAGAAACTACGATTTTAGAGTAATGCATAAACAAAATCCCTTGTAGTGGTGCTCACTTGCAAAATAACAACTTAGATTTCTAAATTGTAGACACCCTTTTTCTTTGACTATTAATTACTCTCAATGAGCTTTGGTGCCCTAAAATAAACACAATCATGAAAAATATATTTTTTTTAAATAAGGTAAGAAAAAATACTATATAGTATTTTTTCTTTCCTTATTTTTATTATTTTTTTGAGTAACTTAGCGGAGAAGCAATTATTACATTCGCGTTACCCGCACCTGTTTCAACCATTATCTTCTTCCTGATTGAATAAATAAATTCAGCTGGGTAATGTGTACGTCCGAACATCATTTGTGGATCACGTGAGTGCCAAAAAAGTTGCCATAAATGTTTTTTTAAATATTCTATCGGTAACGCGACAGACGTAACGCAACGGAAAAAATGTCTGGGACATGGGTCAAATTTAAAAAAAGTAGATTAAAATTAATTATTTTATATATAAATTGTTTACTGTATTAACTAAGGATGTTATGGATTGCTATAAAGCAACACAAAGTTCTGGTTATTCAATATTAAAAAAAAACATGTATGTAAGTTTTACAAAACGCTAATGGGACATTCGAAAATGTGTGTTTCACAAGTTTCAAAATTAAAAAAAAAATATTCTGAAATAACTAAACAAACATTTTCTGAAAGAGTTTACTAAGGGCTTGTTAGGCTTTCACTTGGTTGTTCAATCAATAAGATCCGATAATTTTTAACAAAGTTATTGGAATTCAAACTTACGGACAGCGGAAGGCGGTTTTTTTTTTAAACGACCCAATAAAACAATCTTTCCAAAAAAGTAAAAATAGTTTATAATTTGTTTATTTTTATTTCCAGGCAATTTGTATCATGTTTGTTAAAACTTACTAACATTTACAAATCTTTTTACCTTATTGAATATTAGGTGTAAATTATGATTTTTTAGTTTTCTAAAAAACTAAAAAATGTTTAATTTCTTTTATTATTTTAATATCCTACATTTTTTAGGCATTGCAAAAAAAATATCACTTTAAAACTATTACATATTTATATTCCAATAAAAATAAAAATACCTACAATAATAAATAAAACTTAAATGCATTTTTGACACTTTGTCTCAATCTTTTCCTAAAAGTTCCTTTATTTTGCTATCCAATATTATTTCAGCCTGTTTAACATAGCCATCCCCAATTGTAATTATTTGTTGTTCAATATTTCTTGCAATATCTTGTGAAACACCATCCTTTCTCTTAATTTGTTTTATATACTTATTTTGCACATCTTTTATGGAATCTCTTGATTTAACAAAAAGTACTTTGGCGTTTTTTGCTAGACCTTCTCTGTGTTCTTTAGTTACCCTAAAAAATAAACATAAACACATTTTTATTACTCTTAACATAACTTACGGAGGTATAGGTATAAACAATGTGGTTCCATCTTGTTGTGGATTTAAGTTCATCCCAGACTTCTCTATAGCTTTAAGTGCAGCTTTAATTGCTTGAGGAAACACTGACATATTTACAACAATCGTTTTAGGGTTTTTTCTTACTATTTGAGCTATTTCTTGCAATGTATGTTGTTTACCGTCGATATTTACAGGTAAAGACTCAATTGAACCAGTTGTTGATCTTAACGATAAGTTTTTAACAAAGTCATCTTTGAGATTATCAACTGCTTTCGTCATGTTGTTTTTGAGAGTGTCTAGGTTTATAACTTCCGATATTTGGTTTTCATTTACTTCTACTTTGCCTTTCCCTATAAAAACAACAAAATGCATTAAAACATATAGACTACGTATTCATTGCACCTTTCTCTTTTTTCTTGTCTTTTCCTTTTGCATATTCCCTCGTAAAACTCATACATGGTTTGTTTATTTCAATCAAACTGGGTTGTCGATAAACATTCAAACTAGCAATGTGTCTTGATGAAATAAACCTTGTTACAGGCAGTATTTTTAAATTATTTTGTTGCTTTAAGCTGCATTGCAAATTTAGTATTTGTTGTACCAGTTTTTTTCTAAACATTTTCAAAAAATACGATTTTTTCACATTTGATAACCTTACTTTATTGTGGGGTTAAGTTTTGAATACTATCAGGATTACAACATTGTGATCTGGGTTGCCTATATTAATATACCGATTTAAGTTCTTTTTAATTTAATTTAGGTATAAAAATAAACCAATGTATTTTTATTTACAAAAACAAAATAAAATACGCATACTAATGATCTAGGTGTAGGTAGTTTGTTTTCAACAGACTAATTTAACTATAAAATTAAGCAAATTAAAGTGTTGTATCGCGAGATAGGATCTCTAGATCGTGGAATATAAATAACCGTGGAGTATAAATTAACTGGAAAACGAGAGCAAATGGGGCGAGGACAATCATCCTATTTTGGATGTAAACATAACGGCCGTGTTATCGATACGATCTTGATTAATTTCATATGAAGAAAACGAGCTGTAGGCTTTATGAGCGCGTTAAAAGTTGAAGGCATTTGTCAAACACTGTACTTAGTTTACCTTACTGATCTGTAATTAAGGTGAAACCGCTGCGTTGGCTGCAACACCCTGTTGTTTAGAGCAACAAGGAGATAATTGCCCGCAATGAGACTTAATCGTTTGCAGCTTGTAACTTGAATTGGTCAGGCGGATTTCATGACTTCGGGCAAACGGTACTTTAAATTTATGCCTGCTTACCCTCATTACTTAATAAGTAGGTACTTCTAGAAATTAAAAATAAGTAAATCGTAATAAAGCAAGTCAATTTATATTTAATTAAACCCCAAGAATATTTCTGCTAAAAACGCCATTTGAAATTTAGATCACAGTTGCTTATTAAGTTTTAATCGTTGCTATTGGCCCAAGCAAAGTTGGGTGGTAATTTTTGTTAGTTCCCTAGAATGCCGTCGCGAATTTATTCCGGAAATTGATGTTCAAGTTCTCTAAAAGTTTTCGAGTAAAAATATTTGCGTTTTAAAACGAGAACTATTGTTCTGTATCTAGAAATAGTGATTTAAGATAAAATAGTGTTTTGTGATATGTTTAAAGACACTGCTCCGGCAGTGTTGTTCCTAAAGGTTAAAACGATATACCTATGGTTACAACAATAATCTGCAATGACAAGGTAGGACTTTTTTATCCATAACTATAATTAATTATAATTGTCACTATCACTAATTATCACAGATTATTAGGGAGTGTTTAGTGTAATTATTAATAATGGTGGTTTAGTGTAATTTTTAGTAGTAAATAAATATCTTGGTAGGTATTAGACAATAAAATAGGGGGACGAGTTATTAGTCCGTTGGAATGGGCCAAATATGAACCAAAAAATGGCCTCGATTTGATGGGGGCGTCAAACGAATCGGTACCGTTATCCATGGAGCCTACATGTAGGCTCTAAGGCTGGGAATCGATTACGAATAATTCGATTATTCAAGTATTCGAATAGAGGTGGAAATCGACTATAAATTATTCGAATTTTCGAGTACTGGAATATTAAAACACTTAAAATCAGTATACCTACGTAAGGGCGCAAAAAAACTTTTTTCAAATATATTAACATACCTACCTGTTAATTTGTCATTTTTATTTTTAAAAATGAAGAGCTCGAATTAAAAATTAGGTGGCTTACTTACAAATTTTGAAAGTTACAAAAATAATCAAATTCGAATTTTTTTCCCACAAATTTTTTTTTGTGCACAAAAAGTTACAGCTTAAAAAATTTCGAAAAAAATCGATATAGTGGACACTAGCGAAAAGTAATTAGTGATTAGGCAAAAATTTGCGGAAATCCGAAGGTGTAGGCAACTTGCCCATATCTATAGATATACTAGATATTAGAATCTAATAATTAGATATTATCTAGGGTGTAAGTAGATTTTGCTTCAGATCTTAAACTTTAAGAATCTTATTACAAAAATTTACCGTGGCAAGCAAAAAAATTTTCGAATTTTGACCAAAAAATTGTTCGAATTTTGAGTCAAAATTTTTAACCATTTTTTGAATTTTCAAAATTATTGTGCCACCATTAATTTTAAAAGCATGATAAACCAATATTAGTTGATAGGAGATTCGAAAAAAATCGTTTTTTAATAATAATAATAATAATGTCTTTATTAATTAATGCATACATTAATTAATAGGCGAAGTCTAGCCAGGCTACTCCAGGCATTTTTGCGGAGAAAAATGTATAGCCTAGAGATTTAATAATAACTTTTTATAATAATTATTATTATTTATTATTACTTAGGTATCTGTTTGATAAGTAAAAAACATACCTATACCTACAATAATTAATATTATAAGAAGATTTTATCTCTCTAGATTGGCTCAAAAATCTCTAAAACTAGTGAAACTTCACTGGACCTGGTAAATATTTTAATATTCGAATAAGTATTTAAAAATTTGATTATTTGAATATTCAAATATGTACTCGAGTATGTACTCGATATTCAAATATACAGAAATATTCGAATATCATATCAATCGAATCGACGTCATTTTTTGGTTCACTTCAATAAATAATTTTAATTTAATATAGGGCCTTAAGTTTTTTGTATAAAATCGTAACATAAAGTAAAGAAATAAATCAATAATATAATAACAAAACAATTCTAATAATAATTAATCTAATTAAGAAGTTTCACTTTAATATTGAGCGGCTCAATTTGAGCCTATAAAGGTGAGTTTAATAAAAAAGTGAATGATTTTCAAAAGTTTTGCAATGGCAAGTTAGTATTTATTTAATTTATTTAGTTGTAGGTGTATTTAAACTATTTCTTTTTTCTTTTAATAGCCATATATGTATGTATATTGCTTTAATAGTGATAAAATATTAAGATGTCTTAAACCTATATACAGGGTGTTCCGAAATTAATGCACCATACTTTAACAGCAGATTCCACGTGCAAAAATAAGAAAAAAAGTCTCTATAAATATAGATCGAGAAATGCCTCCTAAGGGAGCTACAGCCCCTGAAAAGGGAGCCCCTGAATATGGTTTTTATCTAATATTTATAAAAAAGTAGAAACACCCTGTCACTTACTACATGAAACTGTCACCTGTCTTGAATTATTCTATTTTTTCCTAAACATGGCAGTCGTATTCCAAGGACCACACGAGTCCATTTCTATGGTTGTGATTTAATTGTGAATTTTTATGCCATGTAAAATAATTTTCAAATCGATTTTAAGCGAAAACGGTGTATGTTAACGAAGTTCAACAAGATCACCTTTTTTATGTGAAAAACTCCAAAATTTCATAATCTGACATCAAATTCTGGTACAAGATACGTACAAAAAAGTTAAGGTGGTTTTAACCCCACTTCCTATCAATCTGACCCAAACCTCATGAAATTTTTTAAATTGTTATTGTTACGTCTTATTGGTCATAAAAAGTTTAATTAATTCCCTAAATTTCACTTTTCTATCTTTAACGGTTTTGGAGATATTAAATAAAAACCGTCTTCAGGGGCTTTCCTTTTGGGGGCTGTAGCTCCCTTAAGAGGCAATTCTTGACCTATGTTTATTGGGACTTTTTTTCTTATTTTTGCACGTAGAATCTGCTGTTAAAGTATGGTGCACTAATTTCAGGACACCCTGTATATTCTATAGGTAAAAGTATTTAAATACACATAGCTACACCCATGAAATATAAGACCTTATAAGGCTTAATATAAAAAGGTTTTATTTTATCAGATCGACTAAGTATCCGGTAATTATTGGTCTGCGGTGGCCACGCAGTCTTGATGCCGTTGGCACGTTACCGAAGTCTATTTAACCACTCATCATCATTACGTGAGCCTTTCTCGGACTTGCCGTGCACTTTTTAACGCTCTCCAACGGCTTTAAACAACCTACTTAACGTCACACCTCGGGACGAATTTCCTCGTATTGCTAAATAATTGCGAATTATGGCCAATACGGGCCATAATTTTGCAAAGCCTGGTAATTTATTTTAATAATTTTAGCTAAGAGCTAAATATATTGTCCTGTGTATACAGGTGGTTTCAAAAATAGAGGAGTCAAGAATGCTCTACTTTTTATATTTTCACTACAGGCACTTATAATGAAACTAATTTAAAATTATAATGGCTATAAAAAAATGTACCACCTAAGGTACCTTTTTTATTAAATTTTCAGTGTCTTAAGCCTCATTCAGAACCTCGTAATTAGTGGAATAAATTAGTGGTTTCAATTAACGTAAAAGTTTGTCTTATGAATATACACAGTATCGTTCACAACCAAAAAATTAGTGGTAGTACTTTTCAATTAGTGGAAAAACTTTGCAAACTACTAATTATAATTGGAAAGCGGCTTTGCGCATGTGTCAAAAGCAAAAAGTTTGAAGTTTGAAATTGTTAGAAATTTCGATTGAGATGGATGATGAATTATTATTAAATTTATTACATTTATTATAAAGAAAACTATTTTCCATCACCAGATGTATAAACTTCTCTTCCATAATTTAAAACTTTCATAAAAACAACAACAAAAACATTCAAATGACAACTATGAAACCGTCCAAGCCGCGACCTGTATTATCGACCGATGCAGATGATACTGTCTACCGTAAGATGGCACAATAAAATTCCACTAATTCTAATTGTTAATTTTCCGAATTGTGAATGATCGTTTTGTGTTAATTATAAGTATAATTGAAACCACTAATTTTTTCCACTAATTACGAGGTTCTGAATGAAGCTTTATTGGGACAAAAACCTACGATTTGTCCAAGTAATGAGATTATTTTTATTTACAGAATAAACTTTTTTTACTGTTAATAAAATTTTCATTTACTATAATGAAGCAGCAATGTTGAACTTTTATAAAAAAATGTTCATCCAACAAAGTAGTTGTTATGATATTGTCATGGCAATAAGAAATACTTTATGTTTATATTAAATCTTTGTCGAACATAAAATGCTTTTGTTAAATACATAGTTGTGTGTGAATTGCGATTATATAAAGTAATGCGCGGTTGTTATAGTAAAATTTGTTCATTTTACTATGGCATATTTGTCTTTTTTAAATTACTATCGTTGTAATTCAAATTAATTTTATTTCAGTTAGAAAATCTTTGTTAATA